CCACATAGCTACTTTAACCTGAATATTAACATGCCTAAATCAAATTAAATCAAAACTAAATTTAAAAATACTTACCAAAATAAAACTGTGTTTCAGAAAGAAAGGGGTAAATGAACATAACATTTCTTGGGACACTTACTATGTTCTAATCTGTGCTATGTTCATTATAAATGTTACTCCCATTTAGCCTTCATTACAGTTCTCCCAGGTAAGTATCTGTTTTGCAGGTGAGAAAGCAGTTTCAGAGAGGTTACTTAACGTGCTTAATGTGACAGCACGGATAACAGCAGACAGGATTGCAGTGCAGGTTTCTCATACCATTTCCACTGCCATGCTGCTACATCTAGACTTTCCCCCATGCCGTGTAGAACTGCCGAAGCATGTCTAAATAAAACTGCATACTTAAGAGGAACTCAAAGCGATAGTTCTATCAGAAGTTTATGTGAAAACGGTTAAAAGGAGCACAAATTCATTTAATGTTTAATTGTATGAGATTTTTAAAACTTTGCTACTCATCTTTAACATTTATCCCACTTGTATTGTGTGTGTGCTCTATATAGAATGTAGCATAATGATTTGCCCTTCCTAATTGATTATTTTGTCATCTTTTTCTTTTTTTCTTTTGCTATACTTGGGTTCATTCTGAAATATGACACTTCATTTGGCCCTTTGTGCTCTATGTCAGCGTCTTCAACTTTATGGATACCATTCTCCTACTAATAGTGTATGTACAATACTTTAAATGTTCTTTATGTATATAGTCCTCACCTGTTATACTTGATAATGTTATTTCTTTACATAAAGTTATATCTGCTATTTAGAATGTTTTGGAATTTATTGAATACAATAGGTGCAATTAAGCCAAAATTTTACATTTTATTTCTAGATTTGTGAGAAAGCTAAAATATGTGGGGCAATTGTATATTTTTAACATTAGATTAAAATAAGGAAAAGGTGAGTGAACAATAACCACCAATAAATCTGGTAGAATAATCAAAATTTTATATTTTTTAGCAGTATTTGAAGTTATATATAAATTACAGAGCAGATTCTCAGGCTGTGCTCCTGCAGAACACAGGTATTTTAAGAACTAGATTTATCCAGCTGATATACAATCTTTGTTCAGTTCTAATAAATAAGTATATTAATGGATAGACTTTTCTTAATTTTCAGTATTTCTCATAAATTTTTTCCAAAAATGGTTGGAAAATTTTGTTATTGCCTGCCTACTTCCTCTGGTCTGTACAGAAATCCGGTGTAAGCTGCTACTTGGTATGTTTGATATACCAGTGTATCATGTTATTTCTCAGGATTATGATTTTCAGACTCTTCTTTTCTTGAAAAAATTGGGAATTCCTATAAATGAACTTCCAAATGTACATTTCTTCTTATGCTGAACTTTCTTCTTTCTTTTTTCCTTGAAAAGTCAGAGTTTGTTGGTTAGCACAGCTACTAAATAACTAAGAATAGGCCATTGCCCTTTTTGAATAAATAAACATGCGCAGTTCATTTTCCCCAAGGATCCTTACGTGACATAAAAGGATCCCTCAAATGATAGAAATTCCACCTGAGAAGCTCTCGAATTCAGGATAACTGATTTAATGTTATCCTGCTGAAAGTGTTCTA